GAAGTTTAATTCCCCATATTTTTTGTTTTAGAGCCGACAAGCAGGATTTCAGTTTTGTCTTCATTTAACTTTAAGAAATTATTGCTCATCCATTTATTTATTGCCAAAAGACAGTTACTAATGGAGTTTATGGCTGCAGCATCGTTTGGCTCAGCAGAGATGTACAGTTGGGTGTCATCTGCATAACTATGGAAACAGACATTGTGTTCTCTAATGATGTCACCAAGTGGCAGCATGTAAAGTGAGAATAATAATGGACCAAGGAAGCTCCCTTGATCTTTTCCCAACCATAACCAGGTGGTTTTTGTGCCTAAACATATCCACACACTCACCACAGCATTTTTTTTAACGTCTCTGCTATATAGTAATGTGCAAATGTCACTTATCCTTAGTTTGCAGAAACGTAAAATGACAATTTTTTTCTGGCGATTGGGTTTTAAAGCCTCTGTCTTATAACAGGATGTTTGCTGAGGCTGTATCACCGAGAAGAAGATGACTGCCACCTCTGGATTTTCTCACCACTGACTGAAAACAGCCTGGAAGCTTTTCAGAGACAGTAATGTTATGATTATGCTGTCACACACCGTGTTGGGTTCAACAAAACGATTCTGATTTTAATTTTGATCTATAACTGCCTGCATAATGTGGGAGCAAATTCTCTGTGTTTAAAGCTGAAAAGAAGTTGAATGTGGTGTATAATTTATATAGTTTTCTGGTTTGAGCTAAAGAGGGTGGGTGTTAGTCCTGAATCTACTTTTCAAAGAAGCACATTTCATATCTGTTTCTAATTTTAATTTTAATTTTAATTCATTCACATATTTTTTAGCATTATAACAATTGTTTAATCTCTGTAATGTCTTGTAACCAGAATTATTGTTAAGGCTTTATCGTGTAAGGGGGAAACTCAACGTGCTTTACCTAGCAGCCATATTTAAAAAGAATAACAGGAGGCCCGGGCCGGTTGCAGGGGCTCCGCACTGGTCAGATGTATGCAGGGGTGTTTCTAGGATTTGAGGACATCAAATTCAGTTAATTAAAAACAACACACCAGTGTACCAGGGCCGTAAATTGAGTATCACTGATGTAGGGGAAGATTCAGCAGCCTTTGGATTCACGTCAATGTATCACTAACTGGAAACTTTTGAAAATGTGATTTAAATATGCCGACAAAGTGTTTGTTGGACTTCTTAATAATCAGTTTTTGGCTTTTTGTTTTGATATTTGAAATCAAATAAAAACAAACAATCCCACATAATGCAGGAGTTGATTGTCTTTTCACTGAACACATAAATATGGTGGATATTTGATGGACATGCCCTAACGAAATGTTAAACTGTAACCTTTTAAAAACTTTTTTAGGACTTTAAGTTAGTTATTTTTGTGACGGCCTTACTAATGTGTCTGTTCCTTCACAGCTCTTCCTTGTGGTTGAAGAGGTGGGCCGTCCAATCTTCCTGGCCACACCTGAGGGTGTGGTCTTACCTTATCCACCTTATTTTTCACGGAAACACGGAGGCAAAACAGAACGCAGCCAGCTTCCGTTTTTTTGTGCGACACTTCTGGTCCAGCACTCTTACCACTGTGTAAATGGGAATCCCCTTGTTGTTTACCTTGCTGAGTTTAGCTATATGTATGTATATATCACATTTTTCACGTCACTATATCACCGTTTAGACTAATCTGATGTTTGTAAAGTCTATAAACACAATAACTGAACAAACATTAGTATTTTCTCTGTGTGTAATTAATAACATGGTTATCGTAGATTAGCTGGGCTAACCGTTAGCTGTTAGCCGTTAGCCGTGTCTGTAATAACTCACTAAACTCACAAAGTGGCCCGTGAAAAAAATATTTTCTCCAGCAGATGTCTTAGTTACAACATGATTGAGCTAATTGGAGTAGCTTCATGTCGTATCCGACAACAGGAGGCTTTTAATGGATGACGATCCTGATGTTAGCTTTGCTGCTAGTGTTAACGTTAGCTGTCCCTGTCAGCTGCAGCCACTGATGCTTTCTAGACATCGTGATTTCCCAAAACTGAATAAATACCACACATAGCAACACAAAACTGCTTTGCTAGCTCAATCATGTTGTAACGGCTGGATGGTTGATGCGTACATGCTGATTCAGGTGCTATCAGAGCCGATCCGCGCATCACTATGGCTTAATGATCAACTCAGTCAATTAAAACAACCCGTCCTGTGTTAGGAGTGTATGTCGCTGACAGAAAGAAAGAAAGAAAAGGGAAAAAAAGATAGAAAAGCAGCGTACACCTCACATATTTATTTCTCACAGTTGCGCACACGTGTGGCTGGCATGCAGAAGCACCGTCTGTGTGTCTGTGTGTCGAGGGTGCGAGCCGCAGCTTCAGCTGCTCAGGTAGAGAGGCTGTGTAGCCCGGTGTGTTTTTTCACTGATTCGATTCTGCAGGTTCTCTGCTGGTACACTGGAGACGGGGATCAAGCAGTTTGTCTCACTCGGGATAGATTGTGCTTTTTTGGTTCATAGTTTATGATTGACGTGCGATTTATTCGCGTTTAGAGGGAATAAATTTCCGTTATAACGGAAACGTGGGCACAGTTATCTAACGTTATACAAAATACACAGACTAACTAACTAACTAACTAACTAACTGATTGACTAACATAAACAACTGAAAATTGAAAAAAAATTAGCTTGCACCGTTAGCTCCGGTAAGGGAAAGCATGAGGGAAAGCAGCTGACCGGAAGTCACGCATAAAAAAACGGAAGGTGATCACTATTTACTTCCGTGTGTGAAAATAAGGTGGATAAAAGGCCTCAGTTGTCAGCTTGCTCTCTCTCTCCCTCTGACTGAGCAGCTGGCTGCCACATGGCCAACATGGTGTAGTTTGGTTTGCCTTTGGTTCATTTGTTCTGTTTTACATACACATACACACACACACACACACACACACACACACACACACACTGACAGCACTGACTCACGACACGACAACATGCTTTACTTCTTATTTTGAAGTAGGTTTACTTAAATAAATCACCTTTTTACCTTAAATTGTTTGTGTAGACTCTCTTTTGTTGCAAACTGTGAGCCAAGTTTGTAACATTTTTGATTTAATGTTATCAGTCAGATCAGACCAAGAGGGCACGTTATCTAATTCAGCATCAAGTAATTTGGGCTTCATGACCCAACCTAGTGACCAGAAAAAATGTTGGCATCGTACATTTCTACAAAACACACATTATTATGTGACAGATTTATTGAAACTTTTTGTTTTACAATTGTAATCTTGGCACTATCCCTGCTCTAAAAACTGTGACAGGTCACTAAATAGAAACACACTGTGGGATATTCTCAACAGATAGATTCATTTGTCAATTATTGTTTTATTTCCTTAATCTATCTTCAAACGAATTATCAAAGTCCCCTCTGCATCCAAGCCTTTTTATACATCATAGGCATATGGTTGCAACCTGGTCTCACTCTTTAAGTCGTCGAAAACAGGGACTCGGGCAGGGACTCGCAGCGTCAGACACAGACAAAAAAGCCATACTTTCACATCGGCATGATAAGCAGCTGGTGGAATCAGGAGGAAACGTGGGACAACAACGAAAGTTAAGCTGGTGGAGGTCCAAGTAGGGTGGGCAGTAGGTGTGGTGAATGGGTCCAACAACCATTGACTTTCACCCGGGAGGCCGGTGTTCGCTTCCCGTAAGACCAAACCCTGTTATTATTATTTTTTCTTTAACCCAACCATGTGCATGTTGGCAGAATGTAACCACGCGTGATTGTTGCTGAAGGAAAAAAAATGTAATTTGTCGTGTTGTACCGACATTGCGTTTTACTTTGAAAGAGACTGTATGCAAGCTGTACATTTCCTGTGAAAACCAAAGTGTATTTTGAAAGACGACAATGCATGTAACAGGCTGAAGACACAGCGTCCCAGAACGTCAACAACCAACGCACTCAGGGTACCTTGCACGTTGCATCTCAACGTGGAAACCCTATGATCGACCATCGATATGTGTGTTGACGTTTGAGTCTCAGATTTTAGGGAAGTGCACAGACATCACCCCCATCAGTACAGGAATGTGAAAACATCTCTCTGGTGAGAAACTTTGCATGGAAACAAATCAGTATAGTCAAAGTCAGACATTCAGTAGACATGAACACATTCTTGAGTGGAGGGGGACTTTAACAATGTCTCTGTTGTATTGAAGTGTCCCAGTAAGCCATGGCAGTGGGACAGTGAGCAAGCAAACTAAAGCTGCTAAATGGAATTCAGCCATTATTATTCGTACCTGTGCTTTACTGTGACATCTCAAAATGTCTTCCATTAAAAAGCCCGATTTGTAGGACTGAATAACACAATGCAGAGCACATGGGGATCCAGCAGATGGCAACCAGCATTTGAGCTGGAACTCAAAGACAAACTGTGCGACCACAAGGTAAATATCACATGACGAAGAACGTATATGGGACAGGATGCCGTGTTTATGTTTGCTTTATGACTGAACGTATCTTTACAAAATTTCACATCTGTTTCTGAAGCCTGCCCTTCTGTCTCTGAAGCGTGTCATCAGACTGTGCGTCGTTATCTCATCATGCTGACCTCTGATCACAGCCGTCCGGGAAATCAATTTGAAATCTGGACTGTAAACAGGGTCATAGATTTGTCTAGAAAACTAATCATTTGGGGCTGTTCTGAAACAAATCAACAAACGTCACATAACAAGAGCAGTGTTTTGTAGATTATCATTTACCCTCATCTTAGATACACTGATCAGCCAAAACATTAAAACCACTGACAGGTGGAGTTAATAATATTGATCATCTTGTTGCAATGCAGTGTTCTGCTGGGAAACTTGTGGTCCTGGCATTCACGTGGATACCACTTGACACGCACCACCCACACAAACACCACGAACCAAGCAAACCTCCTCATGGCAACATAACTCCCCAGTGGCAGTGCCCCCCCCCCCCAGTAGGACAATGTCTCATGCCACACCACAAAAACTGCTCAGAAATGACCCGAGGAACATGAAAAAGAGATTAAGGCGATGAGGAAAATTTGTGAGGAACCTGATTTGATCAAGACACTGACTCATCTGAACAGAGTACACAAAGCTTGTTTGTACATTTGTGTGTCCAGCAGGATGACAGTAACCCAGCGTAATGTTTACTATTTCCTAACTTCATCTACAATTATTAACTGGTAAAAATGTGAACTGGGCTCTTCACTCTGCTTTGTCCTCAGCGATTTAATTCCTGACAAAATGTGTGTGAGATATCTTGGATTTCTCCTGGTTTGGTTTCCAGGAGTACTGAATGGTAAGAGCATTCAATTCTGTCACATAGAGACATTTTAATTTGAAAATGTGTTTAATATGTGCTTTTGTTTGTGGTTGTGTTTCAGCACAAAGTGCAGCTCAGCCTTGTCGCGCTCCCCGTCTGAACGGTGGTTATTTGGTCCCTGAAAAAGAAGCTTATTTTCATGGAATGACGCTCAGTTATGGCTGTGATGACGGACTGAAACCAGCAGTGGAGGGTTGGTGGGCAACGAGCACATGTCATAATGGTTCATGGTCCCATGAGCCACAATGTATAGGTGAGTGTTTCATAACTATGTCTGATTGTCTGAAGGGGCTTTGAAACCTTTAAATTCAAGGTGGTTGTAAAGAGTTGTGCACACTGCAAAGAATGCATACAAGATAAAATGAAAACAAAAGGTAAACAGATTTAATGAAAACATAGGAATCAGCTACCATGAAAATGGCTTTCACATACCTGCATGATGGTGCTGTTTTAAAGGTGCCTGTATGTCAAATGTAATACAATACTGTAAACCTACGAATAAAATATTAAAGTTCGTTCACTCGACTTTGAATCATGATAAAAATACAAATGTAATGTTGTTGCTCAGGGCGGCCCAAGACTTTTGGGGGCCCTAAGCAGGATTGGGTGAGGGGGCCCCCTGATTGTAATGTGTTGCCACTTCACATGGCACTGAGCCAACATGTGTATTGTAAATATTAGTTAAGCACACATAAAAAATAGGGTGTGCACCCCTGGCACATCGATAGTGAGTTTACTGCCTCCTTTCGTCACGAAGCCATCCTGGAGAAGACCTCTGTTTACCCAAAAATTGCGTTGGTGCGTTGACTCACATCACAACTAGCTGTTTTAGTGTGGATTTTTGCATTAGATTTTAAATTTGTTGCATTTTAAATGTGTTTCGATTGGCTACTACCTCGGCCAGGTCTCTCTTGTAAAAGAGATTTTCAGTCTCAATGGGAGTTCCTGGTTAACCTCTCTAACTCCGCCAGGATGCCAACGTCCTCGCTCCCCCCTCCTCTGTTAAATGGTATCTCCCAGGCGCACTACGTCATCAAATCATGTGATGTTTGGTATTGCCGGATTCAGGAAGCTCTCGACTTTTCAAAAATAACATTGTTTCATATGGCTTTACTTGGTGATATTTTATGGTGTTTCTGTGTCAAAAACAACATCAGCTATCATAATCACACCTGATTTCAATAAGGTACAATGTTTGTGCCTACAGCCCCATAGTGTCATTTACCTGCTCAGATGAAGCCACAGACAGTTATTCATCCTGAAAAACTTTTTTTTTTTTTTTTTTAGGCAAAATCTTGAATTTTTTACTGACTTCAGAGGCCCATTACTCTGTCTCTGTATCACCTAGAGTGTTTCTGACACTTTCACAAGAAACTTCAGAGAGTTTTCTGTCTGGCAAGACCTCATGCATGTATGTAGTCAGAGCGGTTCAGAAGCTACAGTCATTTTAATTTGGGTATGTCATTTTAGGCACTAAAAATAAAGGTTAAATAAATAAAATTAAATTAAAAAAACATAATTCACAAACATCATTATAAAAAGTCTTAACATGTTGATTTTAGTTTTGTTCTTCTTTCCTCAGACGAAAACGCTTGTATACCACCAACTATCCCCAACGCAAAATACTCTGCCAACACAAATGGTTGGTATAAGCACGAACAAACAATCAGGATAACATGCGACGAAGGATATGATTACAAAGACCTGGACGCCACAGCCAAATGTATAAATGGAACATGGTCCTCTGTGCCGGTCTGTGAGAGTAAGTCTGTCTGATGTCTTACTCCAATATGTTGTTGTTAAAAAATGTCCATGTCACCAATGACAACAATTACCTTCTCCTGTCCCTGCTCATGATTTATCTTCTCATTTACAGAAAGTACCCATGCATGTGGTGAGCCCCCTAAAATCCCCCATGCAGTCATCATTCATCAGACATACAAGGAGCTGTATCCTGTAAATTCAGAAGTGCAGTATGAATGTGAAGATGAATACACCCTAGATGGAGCAGGCACCGAAAAGTCAGTCTATTGCATATCTGGAAACTGGAGTGCAGGCCCAACGTGCAGTAAGTGGACAATGTGTTGACACATGAAGTGATAAAGATACTTTGTATGAGTTGTCATTAAAGATTAATCAATATTTTTCTATATTCAATATATGTTTAATATTTTGTTGCTCTTAAAGCTGCTATAATCAACAATGGATCAAATGAGTTTGTGTATATGTGAAAGGTATGACTCGTAGCTTTACAGCAGCTGTCAGCTCATTGTTTTAGTGTGACTTAATTAAAGGTGCCCTGTGGAGTTTTCTTGTAAACGAGAAAAAGTTTCTGTTTACCTTCACCAAAATATGTTGAGAACTGTGTGCAGTCAACCTCTGAATCATAGATATGCTCAAATATTGTACAGAGCTCCGTTAAAGGAAACCACCTCCTTTTTGGTCTGTAAAAATATTCCATATATTTGTGACATTTCTTTTTAGTCGCAGGAAGAGAAACCAGACCAGGTACTGGACAGGGTGGCTCTGAAGTGGGGGGAACAGGAGGTAGGTTATTGATCCGTATTAAATATGAATGAGTAAATCCATTGATGTGGGCTCTCTCCATAGAATACGTATATCCAATGTGTTTTCTCTTTTCCACTAAGGCAGCAGACCAGGTACTGGACATGGTGGATCTGCAACTGGGGGACACACTACATCTACTGGCGGTGGGACAAAGCCTGTGGGTGGAGGTAGGTTATTGATCTGTATTAAATATGAATGAATAAATCCATTGATGTGGGCTCTCTCCATACATATATCCAATGTGTTTTCTCTTTTCCACTAAGGCAGCAGACCAGGTACTGGACATGGTGGATCTGCAACTGGGGGACACACTACATCTACTGGCGGTGGGACAAAGCCTGTGGGTGGAGGTAGGTTATTGATCTGTATTAAATATGAATGAATAAATCCATTGATGTGGGCTCTCTCCATACATATATCCAATGTGTTTTCTCTTTTCCACTAAGGCAGCAGACCAGGAACTGGACATGGTGGATCTGCAGGTGGGGGACACACTACATCTACATTGAATGAAGAATATATAATCTTAAATATCAAAGAGAATTACATTTCCTCTGTCAAAGACAACATGTTTAGATTTTGGGAAGCATGATCATGACGGCAAAAAAGTTTAGACGTTCTGAGAGAATTGCATAAAAACACTAACACACAAACACAATACTAACTGGTGTGTCCGCTGTATCTTACAGGGTCTGCTAGCAGCTCCGAAGAGAAAGAGACTCAACTTCAGATCACAACAAGTAAATAAGTTGATTCATTTTTTCTCTTACATAATCTAAAAAACTTCAATTCTACACCAGGTTTCAAAACTAAAGTGGTTTACATGGCTGAACCAGGATTATAACATTCACAATGGCAATGTGGCAGGTGCATTCTTTGCTAAGCCCCGCCCCTTTGTGATGGATGTAAGCATGGAGCCCACACTGTAACTAACTGCACTCCCTGAAGACATATGATCATATTTTTGAAAAAATGAAACAGTGATTCCAGAGAGAAGCAGACAGAGGGGTCTACAGTCTGTGTTTGAAGGATATATCCAGGATGTCAAACTGACTCAGCAGCAACAACAGGTTAAAATAACAAACTACAGGCTACAGATCACAGTGTAAAAGTGAACCACCACATCACTGCTGATCGCCACACAACACAATAAATATAAAGGCAAACTTTGCTGATATTGAACCAGCTGTGTGTCATCACAGTGTGTGTCGATGAACGGTGTTTGGCGTGGATCTCTGGGGGAAGTCAAACACACTGCGATGACACACAACTGGTAGAATATCAGCAAAGTTTCCCTGCTTCCCTTCACTGGTTCCTGTACAGCAGGGTGGGTCTTTATTCACTGTTATAATCATTACAAAGCAAAAGCAGCATGTGTATACATTCAGTAGGCTATATCTTCAGTAGCTAGCTAGCTAACCCTACACTTTTCAGGGTTTGATTTTGGTTTTGGAACAGGGAAGAAACGTATATTGTTTTCCAACCTCTCCAGGTAATGAGTATCATTAATACACGACGTGCCCCAGGCACAACATTTAGCTCCAAATCCACAAAACCAGCCTGAAAATAAAGGAAATCTGACACGACTGCATTAGAGGAGCACAGCTGTGTTGTTGTCTGACCCTGGTCTGAGCCGGCCCAATGCTACGTTATGATTGGCCAATCTGCATCCAGAGGCGGGACTTACCAAAGAGTCAGTTCAGAGTTATTTGGTCAAAAATGTTTGTTCATTTTTTAAAACAATTTCTGACTAGTTAATTACAGCGATGAATCTACAGCCGTGGCATGGCAACAGTATTGTGTGATGTGGGGAGAGATTAGGTCCGTCAGCGAGGAAGCCAGTAAAAAGCTGAGAGAATCATAATATGAGGCGAAATTTTAAGTTACCGGCTTGACATATTTGTTTCAATAAACCTTTTTATTTATTTATTTTTTATTTCAGTTAGGACCTGTGGAAATCACCCCGTAGTTCCTAATGGTGATGTTGTGGAAAACAATCCAATGTTTTTGAGGTACCAGTGTGCTGCATTTTACAAACGAACGGGTCCACAGAGTGTGGTGTGTTACAGCAACGGGAAATGGTCAGAAACACCCACCTGCAAAGGTAAAAACAAATCGAGTCTAAAGGATGTCAAAGAGTGTAGCTGGAAAAAAGTTAACAGTTTTTTTTTTTTATTGTTCCTTTTGTGCAGCTGCCTTCTGTTCTGTGGACACTGGTGACTATCCTGAATTAATACCTGTTGGAGTTAAATATATAAAAGAGGGTGAGAAGGCGAGATTGGAATGTGTGCATCAGGAGCGATGGTGGACGACTCATTATTCTGTGGCTCGCTGCAATAATGGAAGAAAGACACTTTCCAGATGTAAGTATCACTTTAAGCTTTTTTACAAATTATGTCAGCACAAGCAGCAAAAACGATCCACTGATAATCACATTGACATCATGCCAGCACCTTTCACTACAGAATAACTCACAGACATGAAAAAATATATAAATATTTTCCTTTAACTGGTTGGTTTCCAGGGGTGGGAATCGCCAGAGGACTCTCGATACGATATTATTGCAATATTGAGCACTGCAATACAATATATTGCGATAAAATGCAATTTGTTACCTTCTAACTGAAAATTATTTCCCCAAAGGAAAACTTAAGATAAACTTTCAGTCTGTGAGATAATGTGCCGTTATAGTCACATATGAATCCACTGACCTTGAAGTCCAGATGTCACAAGTTAATGCCACCATTCCCGCTGTACTCAAAGATTCCTCAGCTTTACGCAGAGCTTATGTACAGCTGTGTCTGTGAAAAACCGTCAGGACAGAGTCACATTCCTGGGTTCACGTGTTTTTAGCACGTAACAAAAGCCTTGGTTTTCAACAGCGCTGTATGAACGCAGATCTTTGCACGTGAAGTTGGCGTTGGCTGTGTTCTTCTCTGTTGCTCTCTCAGAGTTGGATGGTAGTTTTGTTGACCTAAGTGTGTCCAGCATTGGTTGATTGTTCGGCAGAGCAAGTTTAGCATTAGCTTGCCCATCAATGAGTAACGCTATCTCTGGATGGCGGCGTGTGAGGTGAGCCCTCATGTTCATAGTATTCTAGTATTTTAGTCTCATATGACACTGTTTGCAAATCGCAAGTGTCATATCCAATTCCTTCTTTCCTTCTGCATTTAAAAAATCCAAGTGTTCAGATTTTGATGAACCTCCTGCCAAATGCTCCTGACTGAGACCTCTGCTGACCTCACCAGGAAAAAAATATCAGCACCATCTAGTGGCCTGATAAAGCAGTTGATTTTATTATTCTAGTACCAAAAGTTGTATTAAAACGTGTATTTGCAAAGATTAATGATTTACATAATAAAAGATGACACTTCGTGGCATCCGTGTATCGACACAGTATCGCTATGCAAAATGACGCGATACTATACTGTATCTATTTTTCCCCCCACCCCTAATGGTTTCACATTTAATGCTCTCTTGCGTATCTGTGGACAGAGTCCCTTCATCTGTTGACAAAAGGCTTTAATTATAGAATATTGATGGTAATTACGAAAGGCAAATTAAATTGAAAGATGGGGCGGCAGGGAGTAGCGCCGCAGCAGCAACGCTGTCTGTGTGGACACACCAGCAGTTTAGCGAGGTAGCCTTCACGCACAGGTAGAGGTAGGCAGTGTGGCCCAGCCTCTCAGATCCTTTCACTGCGAGGGAACGGTGCTTGTTCAGTGATCGTTCAAAGTGAACATCAGCCTTGAGTCTCTAATGCTAATGCTATTTTTTTTTCCAGGTTGTGACTGGTGGGACCTGAAGAGGGTGAGTGTAAAAAGTAGTGTCCTACTTTTTAACCATTCGAAAGCTGAGGCGACATCGCTTTTACAAGCATTTAAATCTTTGAACCCTGAGCAAACTGATGCGATTCCTTTCAAAAACATGAAAAAAATAAATAAATAAAAAATCGGCAATAAGCAACTTGGTCAGAAATGTCCCAAAATTGCAAAAAAATTAATAGCTTTAGATGTAGAAAAAAAACAATCAAACAAACTAGGGGGAAAAAACTATGTTTATTAATTTATTTATTGATTTATTTAATTTTAAGCATTCTTCAAGGTCATTTCCTTTTTAGTTTGTTTTAACTTTATTTTTTTTTTTTTTAAATTTTCTTGTTTTTAATTTTCTTTCCTCCTTATGTTGCTCTTCTTCCTTCTTCCCATGTTTTTAAAAGAAGGTTTCAATGGGTTAAAGAAACAGTAGATATTTACGCTGACAGTACTTCTGTTTATTCATTTTACATTTATAGCGATGCAGTGATTTATTTATATTATATTTTACAATATTGTTTCTGTCCCGTCACCAGGACATTTGCTAAAGCTGTTTCACCAAGAGGAAGATAACTGCCACCTTTGGATTTGCTCACCACCGACTGAAAACAGCCTGGAAACCTTTCAGAGACGACTAAGTTACGATTATGCTGTTACACACTGTGTTTTTATATTAATCTGCTTACATCATTTAGAAGCAATGCTGTGCTTAAAGCTGCAAAAATTAACTCAACATTTAAATATGGTGTGTAATTGACATGCAGGCCTCAATAAAGTCTTCTGCTGAGGTTTCAACGCTGTTCTTTCTAAATTGTGTTGAAGTTTTTGTGTCCAAAGGGCCCCAAATTCATCAGTCAATCTAATATCCATATCAGCGTCTCCTGTTCAAGGTTACAGGTGATTGGTGACTCTCTGAGGTAGGGTACATCTTAGTCAGGCTGCCAGTCTGTTACAGGCCGAATAACTCAAAAACATTAATATTTTTACAACTGATTTTATTGATCATGACACAGAGTTTGAGAAGAGCATCACAACTGTTTCAGAATGTGAAGATGAAATCCAACAATTAAGTGTGTGGACAAATGTCCACTGTGCAGCTGTCACATATCTGAAATCCACCAGCAAAACCACACCAGGATGCAGCCGTTACTTTACCACATGTGATATCTTAACATTTGTCTTTACAATCTCCATCTCTTTTTCTGCTCCTTAGTTCCTAAAAACAGATTATTTTCCGATCAACAAAATGCCTTTTAAATCACATTTTACATGATTTAACAAGTGTATTTAAAAAGAGGTTCTTGCACATACATTAGTACAGTGACCTCTAATCATTGTGCTCGTACGTACACAGCAAAAGAAAAAAAATCTTCCCTTGTTGCATCACAATAACAAACCCAAAACCTCCGCAGCTCAGTCGACAGAATACAATTCTGGCTTGTACATTTCTGTAAACTACGGATATGTTACATTTGCATGTTATTATGTAGCAGAGATGTTAAAACTTTACTATGCTGTGGTGAATGTGTGATTAGGTTTAGGCACAAAAACCACTTGGTTATGGGTAGGAAAAGATCATGTTTTGTCTTATAATACCCAGTTTGGGGTGCACAATCCCAGCAGGAACATTTCTATGTTTCATACATATCAATCTTTAAAAATTAACGTAGTTCACATTACATGTATATAAGGTGGGTTTCAAATCAGGGGATGGTGTAAGAAGCCGACAGCAGCAGACCACTGTTTGAGACAAACAAACCAGGTATTTCTCAAAAACAGGTTGGGCCATTTCTAGCTGTGGTTGCTGCGACAAAACCAGGTATCATTTCACAACACATTGCTAGCCTTACTTGTTGCAACGAAATCAGGTATTGTTTAAAAACACATTTCCAGCCATGTTTGCTTCGACAGAACTGGGTATTTTTTAACGATATGTCAAGACATTTCTAGCTGTGACTGCCACAACACAACCAGGTATTTTTTTTAAAAATACATTCCTAGTCTTGTTTGTTGCGACAAAACCGGGTTATCTTTCTTTAACAAAATATTTCAGGCGTTTTTCTTTCTATGAAAGAACCAGGTATTTTTTAAGAACAGGTTGGGACATTTCTAGCTGCGGTTACTGTGACAAAACCAGGTATTATTTAACAACACATTTCTAGCCTTGTTTGTTGCAACAAAACTGGGTATTTTTTAATAATACAATTCCTGTCATGTTTGCTGCGATTGAAGCGGGTATTTTTTTAACAGTATGTTGGGACACTTCCAGTGGTGTTCGCTGCAACAGAACCAGGTATTTTTTAATGAGAAGTCGGGACATTCTCAGTTGTGTTTGCGGTGATAAAACCAGGTATTATTTCACGCAATATTGGGACATTTCCAGCCGTGACTGCCAGGACAAAACGTGGTATTTTTAAACATCATGTTGGGACATTTCCAGCCATGTTTGCTGTGATGAAACTGGGTATTTTTTAATGACATGTCAGGACATCTCCAGTCATATTTTCCAGGTCAAAACCGGGTATTTTTCAACATCACGTTGGGACATTTTTCCAACCGCGTTTGCCATGACACAACTGGGTATTTTTTGAAAAACATATCTGAACATTTCCAGCCGTGTCTGTGGCAACCAAACTGTGCATTTTAAGCCAAAACGTGATCTTTTTCTGAGTATCTGTTTTTTATCTTGTGCGCACAAGATGATTAACTCGTTCCCATTAAATAAATAACTTGTGCGCACCAATGATTTTGAAGTGACACATTGTACAGGCAGTACACAAATTACAATAAGGCCACATTTTAGGTTTACTCAGTATTAAAAGGCTGCCGGTACTGACTTGTTTTAGAATCAGTTAACCTGTGGATATCTATTCATTTATTTGGTAAACCAATTAATTGTTTAGGCCATCTTTTTTAAAGAGCAACCATTTATCATAAGTTACTACAACTAAAATCGAGACATGAGAACTGAGAAATGATTTCAGTGATTCATTCATCAAACTTGTCGTCAGTCACTTTTCTGCAACTTATCTGACCCCTTAAAAAACAAACCGCTCCGTCTCTATACAATATAATACAATACAATTAAAGCAAGTTAATCTGTGCAACTCAAAAATCAAACCATTCAGTAAGAACCAGAGACTCATGTTGACAGGAACCTGCTGACAAGTGGTGAAGTAATGTTTAAAAGATGGAGTCTAACACACTGTATAAAATCATCCAACATCCATTTGTGGAAAATATACTTATTCATTTCATACACTGAAAAAAAAACAACAGCCCACCTGTCTTTTTCAGTTTTACCTCTGTGTTTTTTTGGAGTTAAGGTAAAAGTCATGACAACAGAAAAACCTGTTTAAATCCACAGTTTCTCTCTTTTTTAACACGTCACACAAATGCATTTATTTGTGTGGTGTCAGTGTTTCCTGTCTGAACATCCTGTGCCGTAACAGAGCTTAATAACTCTAGAGCTGTTGTGTAGTTTTTGTATTATATTTCATTATTTTACAGGGAGAACATAGTCGCCCTCTTTCTTAAAGTGTGAACACATTTTAGTGGTGAATACTGGAGCTTCTGTTCTTGTCATTAAATGAGTGTTAAAGTTTGTTGGACTGTGCCTTGAGGGCTGAGTTTTGCTGGAGCATCAGTGTGCGTGTTCAGAGTTGGAGATGTTCTGCACAGAGGAAGCTGAATCCAGTCCCAGCAGCGTCCCCAGGTACGACTGCTCTCTGGGGTCCAGCATCTGATCGGGCCTCACTGGGTGGACGATGTTGGCAGGCTGGGGAGTGAGGGTGTACTTTTCTAAGAACGCCAGTTCTGTGGCGGCTTGATAGCCAGAGTTCTGCTGCTGTCCTTGAGTCTGCATGTTCACCACACTGTGAGTTTGGGAGGAGATGGATGAGGCTCTGTGAGTGCTGAGGTTACCCTGTGCTCCTGCTGCCATCTGGACAGGAACTAAAGTGACGGGCACGCAGACGTTTGTAGGAGGAGGGGTGCTCTGGAGGGTTGACTTGGGTTCAGCGCGGTATACCTTAGAGGGCTCCTCAAAAGGAATGGTGACTATTTTGACCTCGCTGAGTGTGCCGAGGGGCTGCTCAGTAAAGCGGTTGCTGTGCACGTGGTCGACGTGGTACTTCAGCTTGTCTTTTCGTTTAAAAGTGGCGCTGCAGTGGGGGCAGTTAAAAGGACGAGCGTCTGAGTGAATCACCATGTGCTTTGTCAAGGTCTTCTTGATCCGAAATGTCTGGTTGCACTCGGGACATCTGTGGGGTTTCTCACCTGTCGAGTGGACAAAAGAGAAGCTCAAAAAAACACATTTAGATAAATACCACAAGGCGTGCTAATAATGTTGGCATGTTATATTTGTTTAGAAAACGTGTTTAGTATAAGACAGGTGTTTTGTCGGTGAACCTTGTGAGCTCTAATGGAGCTGAATTTTGTAACGTTACTTTTGTTAAATGTTGCTGTTGTCCCTGGGTTCATGTGAGAACAGGAAAAATCTGCTAGCTGCTAGGCTAATTTATATAATGTAAAATGCCATAGGCTTGTGCTAAAAACATTAGCATGTTGTATTTGTGGGGAAAATGTGTCCAGATAAAGACAAGGGTTTGTCTGTGAATGCTGCGAGTTATAGTGAAGCTGATTTGTGTACTTGTGTTTGAAATTGTCGCTGTTAAGCCATGTTTAATGTGTTTTGAATCAACCAAACTTTACAGCACTTCACTCTCTGCTCTCATACGTGTTTTCAAGCAAATATATCCATTGACGTTTTTGTTTCCATACCCGAGTGGGTCCTGAAGTGCATTTCCAGACTGGACTTTCCTTTAAATTCTTTCTTGCAAACCTCACACTGATGCAAAGCCGTTTTGTATCTGTAAACAAAGTCATTATTAGTAAGGACAGAAAGCAAGAACACAAGAGCAGCTAAGGGAAATATTACCACCTATGCCAAACAGAGAATAACTGATTTGTATGATAACATACTTCTGCCACACTTTCTCTCCCAAATGAATGCTTTTGTAGTGGACCGTCAGGTGATCATGGCGCCTGAAGCACTTCCCACATTCTTCACATTGGTGTGCTTTCTCACCTGTAATACACAAGGGTTGGATTTTTAGAAGAGGGGTTGTACGAGGTACTCATCCATAGTCAGTGTATTACATACAGTAGATGTCAATTGGCATGCCCCCAGTTTGGAGAAGAAGGCAGGAGTACTGACACAGCAGCTACGCAATGTACTGCTGTGGATGAGGACAGCAGCAGCAAAACATATTTGAGCCTCCTAAAAATATCAAAATCAGTTTAAGTGTTTGCTAAATTTACAAGATTTTCAGTGCTTTAGTGCTCTAGCTTTCCATTAAGTGTGCACTATACTTCACCCCTTAACGTCACTGTCACACTGGAGCTGCTCGTCAACTGCTGCCACAATCAGTTCTTTGCATTACTGTGTGACTTTTGTGTGTCCAAACTAACTCTTTGAAACACCATAGTAATACAATAACACTAACTAACTAACTGATTGAGGCAGGCAGGTGTAGACCAGCAGTTCCTGTGTTCAGTGTGGTAAAATTACTGTTTTCGCTAATAGAGTCTGGCTTGAAGGCAGTCCAGTGGCCCGTCAGAGAGGGCTGTCGAACAGCAAGGTTAAACAGTGAAAATATTTTAAATACAGTGTACACTTAAACGGTTATTGATTTGTAGGCAGTTTTGTGGATTTTGTGGTGGCTTAAATATGTTTTGCTGCTGCCACTGTCCACAGCAGTTCATCGCTTAGCTTCCTTGGCTGTCTTCCTGTCTGCTTCTCCAAACTGGGGGCGTGCTGACTGTCATCTACAGTTGGTAATACGCTGACTATGGATAAGTACTTCATACAACCCTACTTAAAAAAATCTATCCCTTTAAGTTAAAGTAAATGCAGACTGCAGACAGTGAAAGGTTAACAGTATTTCTGACTTTACTGCGTTATAAGAAGAAACAAAATCAAATGTGTGAATGAGACAAAGCGGAATGAAAAGGTAGTGCAACCGTTGTCGTTCTTATACCGTACCAGAGTGTATTTTCTGATGTTTGGTCAGGTGATCATGGCGTATGAAGGTTTTCCCACATTCGTCACACTCGTAGCGCTTGTCGTCATGGTGGACTCTGAGGTGGAGCCTGTCCAAAGGTACAGTTTGCTTATTAAAAGCAGCTCTAAAAATCAAGAGCTTGAAACATTCATTCATTCATATTTTTCAAATCTCCGCAGCCTTACCTGTAGGAGCTGCCATGACGGAAACTTTGGCCACAGATACTACAGAGGTGAGGCTTCTCCCCACTGTGGATCCTCAGGTGCTCCCTCAAAGTGGTCCTAGAGGGGGAAAAAAACACACATCTCTCAATAAAGCAGCGCAGGTAAGACATGATTTTACAAAATAAGAGTTCTGGAAATAAGGAAAAAGTTGGGGGAGTGTAGGGACAGAGAGACGTACCTTTCTCTTACAGATTTCCCACAAACGAAGCAGGTCCATTTTCTTTTGCCTCCATGTGTGCACTCAATGTGCCTCTTCCTGTTGCCTGTGTCATTAAACTGTCGGCCACAAATCTCACATGGAAAAGGACCTGAGATATACATAATATGAGAAAGGATACAAACTTTTACATCAACTTTTACACATCGAATGCTACAGAAACATGATTCACAGTAACAGCTGTGACATCATTTAAAGGTTTTAATGACATCTTAAATTTTCTCTGTTTTAATATGTATCAGTCTGGATTGTTTTGGTGTGAGATGCTGAGTGTTGGAGATATCAGCTGTAGAGATGTCTGCCTTCTCTCCAATATAATGGAACTAGATGGCACTCGGCTTGTGGTGCTCAAAAAATGCTTTAGGTCAAGGTCACATTTATTTCTATAGCACATTTAAAAAGACAGAAGTCACCAAAGTGCTTTACAAGAACACTGTGAAAATTACAATACCACATAAATAGAATGATAAATACCAAAATATAAAAACAGATACAAAATACAAAAACAAACAAAAAAAAACAGAAACAAATATAAAAACCAACAAACAGTTAGAAACAACATCAATTACACATAAAAAAAAAACCTGAGACAGAGCATACGTATATTGCACAGAGTCAAGTCTGGCTCACAACGGGTTCAAAAGCTAACGAGAAAAGGTGAGTTTTTAACGATGATTTAAATCTTCCCAGGGATTCTGCATGTCTAACATGCAATGGCAAGCTATTCCAGAGCTTGGGAGCAGCCACTGAAAATGCTCGGTCGCC